GTGGGATAAAACATTTGTCAGAATAATAAAAAAATAGGATTATTATTCAATTGTCCTTTCCATTTGTTGAGCCTTCTACTCTCTCCCTCTCTCTTTCTCGTTTACTTTCTCTTACATTTTGACATCATTGATAATTTGTACAATTACCTTTTATCATTTCTAGATGTCTCGTATGAATTGGGATAATGATCGATTGGAAGATCGTCTTGCCAAATGTAGTAAAGATGCAACAAAACTAGCTATGGAACAATTACATGCTTTAACTGGTCAATTAATTAAAGATAGTCTATTTAATAAATTTTAAACTGCTATTTTTGTTGTTGTTGTTGTTGTTGTGATTATCATTCTTCACATCCTGATTTTTCTGGTACATTGTACATTATTGTGAATGATTGTATTTTATTTGTCAACAGTTTATGATTTCAAATGACTTTTGAATGAAAACATGTAATTAAATTTTCTTGCATGATAATGTGATGATTATGGTTGATAAAATATGCTTGAAATAAACTGTCTATTTGTAATAACTAGTTATTAAATCTACGCCGGTTGATCATTGATTATGAAAGGATGTGATATGGTCTAATTCTCTGTGCTCTGACCAGATTTTATAGATGATATTTCAGTTTTTCCCACTAGTTTAAGAGAATCAGCATACTGCAGCACTAAAAACTGACGTTTCATGTTAGTGTTAATACTTGTCGCCAAGACTTGTCTGTAATTGTAAGGGTGCTGGTCATCTCCAGTGTGATTTAGACATTGTTTACTTATTATTACCGAAAAATTACTATTCATACCATACATAACCCAGTAAGATGTCGTGTAATAGAGAAAAGTTTTCACACTGGAACTTGACTGGTACGAATCCATCAGCATTGTTTATTACACGGCCACTACTCAGCGATCAATTAATTTTAAGATATCTATCTTACCGATCAATCACAGTGGGGCATCTTAGTTGAGATGTTTTTGTATGTTAGTTACTTCCAAACAACTTAAGGTCATCTTATATTCATTCTTCTTGTCATCAGTAATCTTTATTGTTAGACTTAAATAGGTTTTTATTCTCTTCACCGCGTAACTATCATCTATCAATTAAGGGACGAGTATACTGCGCGGCAGTTCGTTCTGTTTTTACTTTACGGCTGCGAAACTTTGCCATTAAGAGTTGAGGATATTCGTAAGCTACTAGTATTTGACCGTAGATGCCTTAGAATTATTTCTTGCATCTGCTGGGATCATCGGGTAATAAGTAATACCGGGGTTAAACTCAGGGTATTAGGTAATGATGGTAAATCAGTTGATGAGGTGAATCTTCATTGACTGAGAAGGTTGGGCCACGTGTTACGTATGCCTGAACATCGATTACCACAAAACGCAATGCTGACTAGTTTCGGGAATGGTTGGAAGAATGTTAGGGGAGGCCAAACCAAAACGTAGCATCAGTCCTTGAAGTCACTTACATGTAGTCTTAACCATTCTGGGAGATGTAGACTGCTTGGTTGGGATGTGCACGACTATCGTAACCAATGGTTGGAGAATCGGAGTGACATAGCTCAGGATCGATCGCAATCGCGTAGGTGTATACACTCTTTGTCTATTATGATTACTGAATGACATGAATTCATTTGTTTCATGGATTCTCCTCAGTTGTTTACAATCTAAAATGATCTATATTGATCATTAAAACAAGTATAGGTTAAATAAATGATTAAGCAAACATTTGAACTATGCTAATTCTTCCATATTCTTTTCTCTTAATATTATTCTATGTCTATATATCAACTTGATTCATTCTAAAATATTTCCGACATGAACTATGTATACTTTTGTTTCATTTCAATGATCAATACAATCGTTTTATTTTGTAAGCAGCTGAGGAGGATCCACAAAATCAATGAATTCATATTATTCTATTACGTTTTTTTTTAATTTTTGTTCTTTATTTATTTATGCTATAATTGTGGATAAGATACTACTTGTTCTACAGAATCTAACTGATATGGTTCTATACAACAAAAAAGAGAAGAATACAAGATAGGAGATAAAAATATATTTATGAATCGAACACTGATTCACACAAGATCAATACAATATTGAAATATGAAATGAATATATACTATTGTTTAAGTGTCCAGTTAATAGATAAATGTGAAAGTAATGCACTGACAATCAGAGTTGGCATTACTTTGTCAGTAAGTTAATGTAGGTATACCATTTGCAACATCAATAGATCTACTGCTTCGACTAATACGTAAAACAAAATACTACGTTGTACATATATTGCTGTTTAATAAGATAATACTCGGTATCAAGACTCTAAACAATGAATAGATTCGTTCATATTGTGTACGAGTTACATTCTATTGTAATTATGATATCTCTAAAAGCAATTTTCATTACTGACTGAAATTCGTTCAGCAATCAAGTAAAACTAGAAAACATCTACTTAGTTTTTACCCTTCAACAGTGCTCACTTATGCTGATTCGAACTGTTGTAAAATTCATCTTCAAAAAATAAAGACTTCAAATTAGACAGAACTTTTGCAAAACCATCTAACTTGATAGTGAAAATTTCATCATAAATAAGCCCTTTCGATACTTGTTTTAAAACTTCTATGTTCCTATGATGAGAAGATACTCAATTCCTATGATGGATTAAACCGCAAAGTCGTGCATGGAGGACAACTGACAGACTCGTTCGATGTAAAGACTGGTGTAAGACAATTGATTGATCACTGGGTGGCGATCAGTGTCATGCGTGTCTAGTCCTTATTAGTGCAGATCGAGTGCCATCGATCATGTTGCAATGTGGCCACTAGTCTAGGTGACCCGACACTGTGTGCACTATATATTGAGATTAGATGGTGGTCGGAGGTAGTCGACAGGAAACCCTGGACCCGAGTTTCGTGCTACTTGGCACTTGTCAGCAAGGTGTGCCTGTAATCTTGGGCGAACTGGTGCTCCGTGGTGGATTCGATCTCGTGTCACCCAGCTTCACAGTCAGAGACGTTACCACTGAGCTATCCGAGCGGCAACCGATCTCTTGTAGGACTGAGATGTAATCACAATTGATTGATCACTGGGTGGTGATCAATGTCATGTGTGTCTAGTCCTTATTAGTGCAGATCGAATGCTACCGACTGGTGTAAGACAAGGTTGCTTACTCTCACTCATTCTTCTGGTGATCGACTGGATCATGAAGACGTCAACATCTGGGTGAAAGCACGGGATACAGTGGACATCTAGGATGTAGTTGGACGATCTGGCCCTTCTATCGCACACTTGCAACAACAAATCCAGGAAAACACGACCAGTGTGGCAGCAGCCTCAGCAACAGTAGGTCTCAACATACACAAAGAGAAATCCAAGATTCTCCGATACAACACAGCATGCACCAATTGACTAACACTTGATGGAGAAGCTTTGGAAGATGTAAACACATTTGCATATCTGGGCAGCATCATTGATGAACACGGTGGGTCTGATGCAGATGTGAAGGCGTGGATCGAAAAAGCAAGAGCAACATATTTACAACTGAAGAACATCTGGAACTCAAAACATCTGTCTGTCAAACAACACCAAGATCAAGATTTTCAATACAAATGTCAAAACAGTTCTACTATATGGGGCGGAAACCTGGAGAACTACGAAAGCCATCATCCAGAAGGTACAAGTGTTTATTGACAGTTGTCTACGCAAAATACTTCCAATCCGTTGGCCGGACACTATCAGGAACAACCTACTATAGGAGAGATGGAACCAGATCCCAGCGGAGGAAGAAGCGCTAGAAGTGGCTGGGACATATGTTGAAGGAAGCAACGAACTTTGTCACAAGGCAAGCCCTCACATGGAATCTTCAGGGGCAAACGAGGAGAGGAAGACCAAAGAACACATTACACTGTGGGACGGAGATAGATATGAGAAGAATGAACAATAATTGTATAGAACTAGAGATGAAAGCCGAGGACGGCATAGGTTAGAGAATGCTGATCGGCGGACTATGCTCCATTGGTGGTGACAGACGCAAGTAAGTAATATCCCTATGGTCTAGTAGTTGCGTACGTGATATAATTAAGAAAACTATCGATCTATAATATGAATTGTCTTTAATCTACACAATAAATTCATGTATTTTTGTCTTTTTAGATTTTTTTTCTCCTTCAAATCATTACCACTTACTATGATTTCAAATTACTAATTTTTGTTTTAATGAATGTTATAACACCCACTCAGTGTCTATTATTCCACAGGACTTCAGCACAACTCAAGAACGCGTGATTAGTCTGAGTAGAAGGTAAATATATATTTCCACACCAAAACCCGAAACAATCCAACAACAATGAACAATCAATAATAATAAGGATAGGAGAATATATAACTCATCTAACACCTGTCAAACTATCTACATGTCTGACTAAGCAAACAACCAATCATAATCATTTTATTGCTCCTAAATGCCCTGGTAGAGCCGAGAGTGGGGAAAATCCGCTCTTCATCTCTAAATGCTCTCACATGACCACGCGTATATACCTTCTTTCAGGGAAGTCCTATTCACTACCTTCTCGTGACGGGGGTATTGTCTGCGAAGTTGAGAGGACAAAAAGCCAATATCCAGCGCTTTAATCGAGTTGGTGGACATAGAGAGTTCACCTAGATGAGTTGAAAAACCCTAATTCCAAATCAATGGGTTCCAGTATCCTGAAGGAACAAATAGTGTGGTTATCAGCTACCATAGGACTGTATCTCCTTACGATGCCTCATTGCCTTATGAATTAGACGTTTAGATCAAAGGCTCTAGGTGTGCCTCCCAATCCCCACCCCAAAGAAAACCATCTACTTCAATTTGGGTACCCGGAAATTATCACAACTAATGAGATTTATGTGGGGCGTATATATTTATTTGATGCTCCCCCCCCCTTGTATTCAAATAAATAATCATTCTTATCTAATATATCGAATAAAAAAATTTCAACTATTTATTTTCATTAATTAATCAATTAATTTGGTAATATACTCCATAATTGTAATTTATTTGGTAAATATTCATTAGTTAAATAAGTTGAATGAATTGTATTTAATATTTCTAATTCAGCTTTCATTTCTGTCAATAATAAATAATTTATCTATGAATAAATTATAATTATAATTATCTAATCTATTTTAATGAATTTACTTGTTCTAATAATATGGATTCTTGTTGAATATATAAACGTTTTTTCATTGAATTTAATAAAGATTTATCTCTTTTCGTTAATTTCAATAGATTAGTTTCTTTGATTTGAAGACTGAATATTAATTGAATAGTTTGTTAATGGATATATATATATATATATATAAATTTTGTTTAAAACTTACAATGATAATTCACTTGGTAATAGTCCACATAGTTGAAGATTGGATATTTTTATTGGACTACCATTTTCATTTTGCATCATAGGATTCTAAATTGATTTTTTTTTTAATAAGAAAAACAATGCTGTGTGATTTATTTGATAAAATATTATGATTTAGAGTTATAAAACTAATTACTTGAGTGTGTCGACCGCTTCACTTATCTTGGAAGTCTCATCAACCCTTGTGGTCTGGTATGTGACAAAATCTCAGCATGGATAAGGAAGGCTCGTCTAGCATTTGCCAACTTGCGTCATTTATGGAGCAGGCAAGATATCCGTCTATCAACCAAAGGACGTGTTTACTGCGCAGCAGTTCGTTCCGTCTTAATTTATAGCAGTGAAACATGGCCGGTAGGAGTAGAGGATATTTGTGGGTTACTAGTATTTGATCATAGGTGTCTTCGATGCATTGCTCGTATATCCTGGGACCATCGAGTAAGTAATGCAATTGTTAGGAGACGGGTACTTGGTAAGGTTGGTAAATCAATTTATGAAGTAGGGAAACTTCATCAGTTGAGATGGCTGGGACACATATTACGTATGCCCAACGACCGACTGCCTCGACGTGCTATGTTCAATGGTATAGGAGTAGGTTGGAAGAAAGCTAAGGGCGGCCAAACCAAAACATGGCACAAGTCCATGAAGTCACTGACAAGTGAACTGAGTCATGTTGATAGGTGTAGACTACCTGGTTGGGGACCACGAGATGATAGCAACCGATGGTTAGAGACCCTGAATTACATGGCTCAAAATCACTTGTAATGGCGCAGGTGCATCCACTATATATATATATATATATATATATATATATATATATACTTCTATGCAATCTGTCACGCTCAACAGATCAATCAACATTTAAGGAATAATAGTTTCATGCTTACCGTAGTGCCGTACTTGTAAGTACAGAATACATTTATACCTATAAAGTGAGAGATATTACATCGTTTTATTTGCCATACCATGAGGATCAGCATCAAAAAGTCCAATCATTGGAATATTTGGATGCATGCAGTTTATTTGAGCAAGAAATTGGCGAGTTATCAAGTCTGGATAACCTTTAGCCTATTTTAAATAACAATTATTAATGCCAGTAGAAATGAATTATTTGGCTTACCGTAACCAATAAACAAGGTTTGAATTTTTCATAGAACTTCTCACTTAAAAGTTTCCGAAAAATCGTATCTTTCTCAATTATCAAAATAAATTGAGGTAAACATTCTGTATATCCGGTTGACAGGCAAACAGATGACTTAGAATAGTAATCTACCTGAGATAATAACCTCATATCCACTTTTAAACAAACTTTCAGGTATACCCTGCAAATAAAAAGAAACGAATAATAAAGATCACTTCTTGTTAACAAGTCATATGTTATTTCTAGTTACAAAGGTTCCCAAAGACACCTAACCAATTAGTTAGTCCTGAGACGAAATCCCGTAAGGTAATTTACTTATTGTCAGATCCGAATACATCACACTTCGCTACAGCTGTAATCTATAATATCCGAAAAATTTGAGAGCTGATATCTGTTCTGTAAGTAATATGTCTGTTAATTGTTAAGTGGTTGTCTTCACTTACGTTTGTTGGTGTGTATGGGATAGAAGGGTTAGGTCATCTGCGAAGTCCAATTCCTCTAGTCACATCCAAGTTGTCCTCTGTATTTTTCACGTTTGCTCCGATCTCCTTTCTTTGGTATCTTGATGGGGTATCCTTCTTTTTTAGTTTGTCGATAGCACTTGTTTCTCCTTCCAAATCTTCTTGAATAGAATGTGAAGCATATTTGCAAATACTTTTGTATCTGACTTCAGCTGGTATATTGTCAGGTCCTTCTGTTCTTCGACTCATTATTCGCCTGATGACCGCAAGTGATTTCTTCGATCGTTGATGGAGTGACATCTATAGGAAGGTCTGTAGTTGCTGCTTCGATGTTTGGCGGATTCAGTGGAGCTGTCCTACTCAACAGTCCTTCAAAGTTTTCCACCTATCTGTTCCTCTGTTCTCGAATCTCGGTGGCTGTCTTGTTTCCTTTGTCCTTGACCGGTCTCTCTGGTTTAATATGTTTCCCTACCAATTTCTTCGTCGTGTCATATATTTGTTTGACATTTCCTCCCGTTTCAGCTATTTCCACCGTCGCTGCAAGTTCTTCCACGCATTCGTACCTGTTAACTCTAGTTCTCCTTTTAACTTGTTTGTTCACTTCTGTTTATTCAGCTTGTGCCTTGAATTTTTTTGTTCCTTTTCAGCTGTTGTTGATTGCTGTCTTCTTGTTCTTTTCTTAAATCTTTTCTAGGGTTTCCATTGGCATCCATTTCTTTTGATGATGCTTCTTGCGGTTCGGTACCTCCTGACACGTTGAAGTTAGTAATTCTTTGGTCGCTTTCCAGTCGCCTACATAGTAGTTTCTTTTTCTTTGAGTAGATCTTGTAACGCTTAGAACTTGTTGTTTAGTTATCTTGAATTGAATGAGTTTGTCAGCATGTCGAAGGAAGGCTATGTTGAACCTTTGTAATGGTGTTTGTGCAGTTGTTCGGTATTTCTTTAGCTTCAGTTCCGTCTCGACAACCACCAGATAGATAGTGATCTGAAGCTACGTCAGATCCTCTCCTGGTTTTTATGCCTTCCATTGACCTTCTGAATTTTTTTACTGATGCAAATACGATCGGTCTGGTTCTCCGTGGTGTGGTCCAGTTAGACCCATGTAGTATTGTTTATGCGTTTGTGCGGGAATATTGTGCGACCTATAACCATTCTGTTGAATGTGCATAAATTTGCGAATCTCTAACCATTCTCGTTGCTTTCTCCCAGTCAGTCCATGTCGTCTCATGATATCTTCATACCCGGTGTTATCCATCCCAACTTTTGCGTTTAGGTCTCCTATCCGGATTGTTAGGTCCTTTCCTGAGCACTTCACTATGATCGATTGCAACCTCTCGTGTAACTGACCTTTATCGTTGTCGCTGCTATCATCGGTGGGTACATAACATTCGATAATGTTCATTGTGATTCCCTCCTTTGTTTTGAAAGATGCTTTGGTGATCCTGGATCCATGAGATTCCCATCCTATAAGTGCACTACGTGATTCTTTGTACAGAATCAAAGTAACTCTCTGAGTATGTGGAGCATTTCCTTCTTCATGACCAAAGTGAAGTAGCATCTCTCCTGAGTGTATCCTTTTCTATCTAGCTTGGGTCCCATAGGTTTCACTGATTCCGTCGAGTATCTCCTCATTTGCGTAGCTATTTGGTTGGTTATCGCGATCTCCTAAAATGTTCAGACATTTAGTGTACCCATATTAATTGTTGCTCTGGTTGTTAGAAGGGACATCAGTGTCGTGGCTTCCGGAGAATCTCGGCTTTCATTATGAGGCGTCATATTTATTTTGAATGAAGATCGTTCGGCTAGGAGGGTAGAGTTTTAATGGTTCAACTTGTTAGTTCTGGCTAGCGGCTTTTCAGCAAGGTTATTTTGTACAGGACGTGTTCGTTGACCTTATTCCTAGTCCTCTTCCTTTACTTGGGCTTGAGATCGGCGGTGGCGGTGGAGTTGCTCAACAAGAAATGTTGCATAATTTTGTTGGTATTTTCTTGAAATGAACTTTTTTATACTAAGATTCATGGATAGAATGACTGATACTCAGATGTAGTCATTCTGTTCCTGAGTACACAGTGTGTTATAAAACCAGAAGAATTAGTCATTTCATTCCATAACTAAAACTTCCTATTTTTACTAAGGTTTTCATGACCTAAATCAAAGTATATCTGGAAGTTAAATGCATCTGTGAGTGTAGTTAGCGACCACTTCAATTGTGAACCTCAGATGCTTCACTACTATTCGTGATATATTCTAGTAATATACAATTTCGCCGATTTAAAACTTTCCAGTCATCTTCATTATATCACCTCCAAGTTTAATTACTTTATCGAAAAGTCCTGTTAAAATTCGATTACCATAGTCTCATATTTCATGAGAACATGTAGTACAAAACATTTCGCCTTGTGAAAAGGGAAATGTTTGAGTAAATTTTTAGGTATACACACTCAGACAGTTTACCATTTTAGTAGCCAACATTCAGACTGTCACGTGGTTGTATTAACTCGTTAGCTGTTTCACGAAACTAATTAACAATTATAAAGTAAGATATGTAAACCCAGTGAAATTAAAACCGATAGCTACAAACATTAATTAATATAGTTTCTTATATCCTAGCGAATGCACACTATTTCTACATAAGCTTTAAGTGTCTGGAGTCTAAGCTGAACGACTTTGGAAGACATTGAACAAAAGCTTCACGTTAATAGTTTCTGTGGACAGTTATAAGTAGAATGACTGTATTCTCTCTTTTCCATCGATAATTTCTTTAAACTATAGAAACGAAATCGACTTTTCAAAATATGTCAAATGATAATGATCTTACCAAATTATTTCTTTTAACGACATCGCTTTCATACCCAATCCCTAGATAAATATCACCATAAACAATCAATTTGGAAGAGGCGTTCTAAAGCGGAAAATGTTATTAAGATAAGCTGTCTTACTATTTTAAGAGCGCACCGAGGGAGACTGAGCTCCTTACAAATCTTTGATAATAATGGGTCTATAATGGATTGTCGTTTGAATAAAATGGGATTTGAGTAATATATAGATCTAGATAATTATTCTGAAACAGCTGTCGATGTACCGTTTTGTTATGAATTTGTCCTCTCGTACAGCTTCATGGGCCATTTTTAAAATAACCATCAGGCGTGCTTTAATTTGAAAAGAAAGAGAAATTTTGTTAGTGAACGAGACGTCAGGTGACTAAAACGTATGACTAATATGTAAGTTTTATGTTGTTCTACTAGGCTTCACATGGAAATGATGCAATTATTTCCGGCACTATCCAACAATCTTACATAGGTAGAAAAAACGTCTTGAAAGGATCTATGAATAAACTTTCGCTTGCTACACACAAAGTTTGCTGCACAAAATTGCAGTCTTCCTAATTGCTTGATTTAGGTTCAATGTGATATATTCTTAGGATCATAGTCTCGCCTACACATTCCTTCAGAAGCTGTGAAAATCAAACAAAGTGTTGGCCTTTTGACTTCATCGGTACTTGACTTGAAGTTCTCATCTCTGGCCTAATATTGTCGTAACGTACATCAAAGGTGGACTTTGTTCCGGTTCCACAGAATCCTAAGTTTATTTTATAACAGTGACATTTTTCCTTGCTGAGATAAATTTATAATTTTCATCATTTATTACGCATCAAGTCTATTGATTTTACTTGAGTTAATTTCAATCAAAGTAACATTTAGTGTATCTTTTTTTCAAAAAGTACTGTACGTTTATTGGGTAAATTGTTTTTTGTCTGGAACCTTTGTATGTGGCAGTTCATGATTTCACCTTTTCCAACTATACGTTTTCGATTGAGATCATGAACCGATTGATGTTAGACCATTATTGAAAACCTGGAAGCACTGGACGCCCGTTTTGTCCTATTGTGAGGCCCCTCAGAAGTCCTTATCCACGAAACGGCCGTCCAGTGTTTCCAGGTTTTCGATGGTGGTCTAACATCAATGGGTTCATGATCTCAGTCAAAACTTAACAATCTCCACAACCCCTATACTGATATCAGTTTCCGAGTCTAATTTATTTGAACAACCCTGATTCGTGACTGGATGGTACAAGAGAAGTAACTGCCAACGCTCCGAAGCCATCACAGCGATGAATACTGCTAAAAGACGTATTGTCAAGCGCAACCGGGATCGATCTAATGGTTATCTTTTTGTTGATACACAAATTGATTTGCAGTCATTCAAAATAGGCTCAGAACCAACTCTATTTATTGTTTAAAGAAGGAGGGATTGAATTCATGGAGGTCCGTCATAAATAAAAACTAACAAAACGAGGTTTCTTCTGTCTCACTCCTCCAAACGGCTTTAGGCAGGAAACGCCTAAAAAGTCTAATCGCAATGCTAAGTCTGTTTTTCTAGCAAACGAAAACGACAACCTGACGCCATAAGTCATCGAAGATCATTCAGTGTTTCTAACGCAACTGCAGTTGCTACTGCAGTGAGAACTGATAAATGAATAAAAATTCGGAATGTAAAATGTCTTGATGTCACTAAAGAAAAGTCAGTCTCCCTGACAGAAGTCCAGAAATGGATGGTTGATCATGTTTACAGATCAGTCGTCTTCCATAAAATCAAGGAGAGTGAAAGCCCAGAACCCTGAACTCACTTTGAGCATAACGTTTGATTGATAAAAGATTTAAATGACCAGATAATCTATCAGGATATCAGTGAGGTCACCTTTCTGAAGATTTATAGACTAGGTAGACAGGCGGACATAAAACAATATCAAACCAGACTGATAAAAATGGCATTTGAACATCCCAATAAATGAGACTCAATACTACAGAATGCATGTAAAATAAAGGGATCAGGATTTTTTGTCCGTGAAGGCTCGTCGACCGTATAGAAAGACGAGAAGCTAAAAAAAGGTATAAAACCAAGATTGGAAGCTGACGAGAAGGACCTAAGAACTGCACATGTTTTACTGGTGAGGTCTCGACGGTGTATGATCCTGTAGTCCCTTAAAGTGCAGCCCAAAGCCATTTAAACGGTTTTTAAATCTGTTACATAAATGCCTCAAGTCTACTCTTCTAAAGATTGGAGTTAGATAGACGGATAACATTTATCCAGCCAGATTCAATTGACGCCATAGAAACTTGTCCTCAGAACACGTATGAGACACAAATATGTGAACTATCGACTCGTAAGCTTAACCAAAGTGGTTATCGAGGTTCTCGAATAGATGGTGCGGAAGGACTTGTTTATGTGTCTAGAGGATAACCTGCTTCTTTCTAATAGGCAAAATAGCCTAAGAACAGGTTGTTCATGTCTCACAAACTTACGAGTAACTCATAAAAGTTAGTGTGCTATTGAAGATCAAAAGTTACTTACATATGTAGCTTAAAATTCCTTCAAGAAGGCTTTCGATAAGGTTTTACACAACCTCCTGTTATCAAAGTTAAGTAATATTGGTATTGGAAGACTGCCTAGTTGGGCGTCAACATGAAGTACAGGTGAACTCAACCTTGTCTATCTGGGAGACTGTGCTTAATGAAGGGCCTTAAGGTACAATTTCGGAACCACTTTTGTTTCTCATGTTCTCAAATAACCTTAGTTTACTATCATCAGTTATATTATATGGTGTTGATATCAAGACCTGGAGAGGGATAGAAAATGAAAGTGATTGCTCCAGAATGAGCTGTGGAAATTGTCTGAATAGTATAAAATTTTATGGTTGCCGATAAATGCTTCCAAGTGCATTACGATGAATATTTGTCACTGAGATACAGATAAATACACTGTAAATAAAATCGAATTGCCAGTTGTTCAAACACAATGGTTTAGGAGTCATTGTTGGCCAAGACTTGAAAATTACTCCACACTGCCATGCTATGGCTTCCAAAGGTTTTAACCCACATGTTCAATATGTAGAATCTTCAGCCATGGCTATGCTAAAACGTTTTCGACTCTATTTACAGTATCTGTTTGTCCTAAACTCAAGTAATACATACACATAGTCAGACCTTGCCTAGAGAGAGGCAGTAAGCCGTTGGAAAAGGTTCAAAGGACCTTAACTAAACTGATCCTTGTGATCACAAAGCTCTTGTATAAACTAGACCTATTAACCTCGTCATATAGCGTAACCGGAGGTGACTTGATCACAGTTTTGAAATGGCCTAACGATGAATTTACATCTGATATGCCATCACTTTTATTGACATCAAAGACAGGGAATTTACGAGGACACTGAAAAATGGCTCGTCGGCCACAAACGAACTAATTGTCAGTTAAATATCGACTTTCTCATCAATCATCAACAAGTAGAACTGGTTTCCTAACGCGTTATTGAAGTCCCATCTGTCGAAGTATTCAGAATAGTTATATTAACCTACAGATTACTACTGTCGCTACTCGCAAAGACTACCCGGAATTCTGTTCTTTCCAAACTAAAATTATTATTAGTATTATCACCTATATTTTGTATGTTCCCAAGCAACTAATAAATAGTAAAATGCGTTGGAAAATAAAGAGGAAGTAATAGGGCAACGCGCCAAAATGTCTGCTTTTTTGCATGTCTAGAGAAAATAATACTGATTTCTCCCTTTTTGTCGCTTTGTTGGGGAAATTTTCTAATTTTCGTCTAAATATCAGCTGAGTAATTACTCAGATTCTGAACCTAATGCCTCAAGTAAAAAATCCTAAGAACAGGTGAAGTTTTTTGCCAGAAAATTTTGAGGTTCTCGGGTTTATGCGGACACATATATCTCAGGTTGTTTATGAATAATTGCTTCAATAACTGATCATGATCAGTACTGAAGTACCTTTATGAGATTCAATGTCGATACAACATTCGACAAACCATCATAAGTGATCAATTAAATTCTAATGAATTTACAGATTTTCAAAAATAATAACATAGAAAATTGACTGGTAAACAAGTTTAACTCGTTTCATTACATTTTATGTTTTACTTACTAAATTCTTCTGGCTTCTTCACTAATAGCTCCAAAAAGTGTCTACAAATATGAAACACTAAAACATACGATTCCTTGGCCTCATTTATATTTCCTGATTTCAGAAACTTCATAACTTCGTATACAATTCCCTCGATCACCGATAACACAGACATATTTTAAAACGTCAACAAAGAGTTCAATTAGAAAAAGATGCTCTGAAATTCGAATGCCATCACACCAAATAACTTGTTGTATTGGAACTTTTTCTGATTTATAGAACATAATTTTTCATCACAAAATGCTACAGTTCTTCAGATTCCCATTTGTAGTAAGGACAGAAGGCCCACAGTCTATGTTATTCATTTCCCAGTATACTTCCATGAGTGTCCAGTCTTCTCTTGAATGAGTCAGTTGAAACTGCGGTCACCACTGCTTCTTGCAACAGGTTCTGAGAATTGATGACTCTATATGAAAACCTGTATGTCACGGGTATTTTGTTAGTTCTTGATTTTTCTACTCACCTGCTATGTCCTCTGAAATATCCCGGTCAAGTGGTCAGAGAAAGAGAGAATATGTTGGGTTCAACATCATTCCTTAGTATTTTATACACCAAAATTAGGTCTCCCCTTAGTCTGCGATAGGACAGAGTAAAGAGGTGCAGCTTTTCAAACAGCTCTTTGTATGGTGAACCATGGAGTTCTGGAATCTCACGAGTAGCAGCCCTCTGTACTTCTCCCAGGATATTCAAGTCACATTTTAAACAGGAGCTTGCAGCCTGAACGCAGTCCTCAAGCTTAGTTCTTACTAAGGTTGTGTATACTGTGGTGATCATGGTAGTATCTGACTTGGTGAATGTCCGTCTTAAAGGCCAGAAGGTTCTAAGCCCCTTAGCTGCGATCTTCCGGCAATGGGCCGTCGCCTTAAGATCATGACTCACTGTCACCCCAAGATCCTTATGAGACCGGACCACGAGTACGGGTACGTCCCCTACGCTGTACCCATGTGGTGTTTGAATGGACTAATGATATCTTGGTACTGGTGGAAAGCTCGATTTCGAATTCTAAATACAATACATTCGTTTGCGCCTGTATCTTCTTAATTCAATTGCGTTAATCCTGGAATTCCTAGTTCATACGACAATTAGAATACCATAACCCATTAGATCAGTTAATCACATTATTTGATTCTGTCTGTAAAGCACATGCGTCTGTGTCTCCAGTTATTACTCGCCAGATCTTTACGTCGTCAGCGTATAATAAAATTGGTGACCGTACTATAATTGGGAGATCATTTACATACATTATAAAAAGTAAAGGACTTAGGACAGAACCTTGAGGTACTAGAATAAGTATCGGCCTTCAGGTGGTGCACTTGGAATTTACGCTCACTTTCTATCTACGATCTACCAGGAAATCCTTATTCTATTTTAAAAGGGGTCCGGCATTATCAAGGTTTTACAACTTCAATAGCAGTCTATTAGTTGTCACTTTGTCAAAAGCCATACTGTAGTCTGTGTAGACAACATCCACTGAGTTTCCGTCGTCTAGCGCTTTTATCCAAAACCCCCTTGCTATAAGGAGGTTCGTAGTGTAAGATAAACCCTTTCTGAGACCATTTTGTTCTATGTTTAGCAAGTTTCCATCAATGCCATCATTGTCCGTTTGACAGTTCTTTCCAATATTTTAACTACAACGCTGGTGAGGCTAACAGGTCTGTAGTCGGATGGAACTTGTCTTGGTCCTGTCTTATGTACGGGAGTGACGATTGCGTCCTTCCAGTCCATAGGTAACACACCATGGTCAAGTGACATATTGAATATCACAGTCAGTGAGGCCGCGATATACTGTGCAATATGTTTCAAGATTTCGGGGTGTAGTTCACCTGGTCCTGTTGACTTTTCCATGTTTAAGGTACTAAGGGCCCTAAGTACATCGTCTTGATCGAAGTTTACAGTGAGCAGGCTGCTTTTTGACCTTGTATTTGGTTCTAGTTCTTCGTCTAGGAGAGGTTCCTGGGTGAAAACTGTCCCAAAATAGTTAGCCGTAGCCTCTGCTTTCTCCATATCTTCCTCTATCATTTCAGGTTCACTCCCTTCTTTAATTAGGTTGGGAATTGTATGATATGTCCTTGTTCTGTAATTTATGTTATGTAATTTATGTTCTCTAATTTATTCTCTTGAACTGCTTGAGTGAAGAATGTGCCAAATGAATTTCATATTTGCTCTGAGCTTTCCGGGTTTTAATTACACACTTGTTTCTTGACGGCTTGTAGCGTTCCATCTTGCTAGCTGTGCCAAGGCTGATGGCAACATTCCAACATTTCTTCTTTTGTCTTATTGAACGTCAAATATCCCAATCTATCCAGGATGGCTGTTCTTCTTCTTCTTCTCCTTCCTCTTCTTGTTCTTTGGGACTGTTCAGGGTATGTATGGCTGAGTTACCCGATTGTATAATTGTCAGAAATGAGTTCATGCCTCCTGTACTGATGCACTTAAGTCGATTTTTCAGTTTTCATTCAATACTTCGGATTCCATTACCTCCACGTCTGCTCTCCGTATGTTGGGAAGGGCTGGCGCAAGAGGCCAAACCAGCCATGAATTTGAATAAGAAGACTGCATGATCGCTGCTCCCTAGACGTAGGAGAAAAGTCATTTGACCGACATCATCACCGTGTGTGAAGACCAAGTTCAAGAGAGACGAGGAGCTTCGTAAGTCCATATCTGGTGGGATCTCTAATGTGTTGGAATGAAACTAGTTCAATTGGGGTTTCTAATAATTTGCAATCGAATGACGTTTTCGGTGGCCCTACTTCTTAGTTAATCCAGTTGGTATACAGTGCACCAAAGTCGTCTACTATAAGCCTTTTATCCCTATCACATCGTGACTTAAGTTTGCTTAGGAGGAAGTCATCTACTACACATTCTGAACTGCGATATACTACAACTAATTCAATGTCCTGCAGTTTATATTTCAGGTTTAACTCTTTAGTAATTTGAGAAAAATCAACACATGACGTGGATAAGATTTAATTCATGTGCTTCAGGGAAACTCCCCTTGAAGACCCTTCGGGGACTACCGCCGGCCTCAAGCATGGATGAGGGAGGAGGGTTGGCCATGGGGTCAGCGACACCATCCCATCTCGATAAAAACATAATGTGCTTCAGGGCACGCGTTACGTATCTTCCAGTGTGATTATTTCTTATCTATGAACTACACATTTTCTTTTTTTTCGGGGTCCAGTAGTAGGTTGTTCAGCAAAGGATGGTGAAATCACATGACAAAATATCTTTTTACATGAAGTAACTCCCTTGTAGTCATCTCTGGGCAATGAGAATCGTAATTACTTGTTTAGTGCGCTCACAAAACTGAATTATTAGTATGTCAGTTATTTAAACGGAAAAGGTAATGCAAATAACAATTTACATTAACAAGCATGTCTTCTCTGTGAACTGTGTTAGTCCTGGCAATGGTGGTCTCTCAGTTGATCCAACTTTCTCTTGAAAGAGCCGACAGATGGACTTCCGATTAAGTATTGAGGTGATGAATTCCATTCGTTGATGATTCGACGGGAAAGTCGATATTAAGCTGACGAAACATGCGAAGGCTAGGTGACCTGTGTTAGTGCCTTAGTGTATGCTCATAAGAACTTGATCAAATACGGTAATAAGCAAAAGAATTTAAAAGAAGCCTGAAAGATGCATTATGAAAAACTGAAGTGACAGCATGTGAATGATGAAACGGTAAGAATTGTACCTAAGCTAAGTTTTATATTGATTGACGACATCATAACAACAATTATGCAATCAATATTATTTGGAAGTTTCTTTTTGGCTAGCCACCACAAATAGATTTCGCTAGCTGATATAATGTGCTCCTTCCCGGTTTATAGTGACAGCGTGAATAGAAATATGAATTTATTAGTTTATTTATAGGCAATCCAAATCAACTGTCTCACTTGTAGTGGCGCGACCTAAACTAATATGTACTCTTCGTACGAAAGCAGTGGCCAACAAAGCAGAATAGGGAATGACGTAAGGAGTGTCCGTTTGACAGCCAAGACAAAAGAAAGAATTTATTAATTATGAATAGAGTTTATTCGCAACGGATGCAATCGAATAAATGATGTTGAATGTAAGTGTGATTACCTATACAACGTCACACAATGTGATCTGAAACCGTATTTTATCACAAATAAAAATAATAAACCTACATATTACCATAGTATCCAGATACTTCAGAAACTTTCTCACTTCTGTAATTTCGAAAGTAAATAATCCTTTCACTTTAATATGAGACTCAGCCGGCGAGCACCACTTCAATCGTGTCCTGGGCCGTCAAACGACACATTCAAGAGGAGAATAGACACTCATAATAGCTATCTCGAAAAGTGTTAGTACGAGTTGTCAGCTGTTTGTTTTCATAACAAAAAAATTGTCTGTAGTAAGCTTATTAGAAGAACTTATTTAAGGTAAAACAATACTCAAAGCTGATAACGATATACTAGGACAAATGTTAGTGCTATCGATTGAGGTGGTAAAATGACACTAGCAATAAAACGGTCTCTTAGAGAACAAAATGATGACGACTGTTATGCAGTGGATGCTACTTGGAAGGGCCTTCTGGGATAACCACGATAAATTGGACTCCTTCAATTAGAAATGACCTATTCAAATTAGATGGGAAGAGCGTTGCTAACTAGCAAACGTTGTAGTCATATCTTAAGGTTAGCATTTAACGTGAACTACCCTTTCGTCGTACCCAGGTATTATGACTACCTTGAAGACCGTACTCCACAAACTACGTTGTTACTGTAATACATTATTGAGAGTACTTGTAAAAATCAAAGTGTGACCACTGCTATGTGGACAAGCCGAAGAGGTGTGATTCGTTTATGTACGTTGGTTTTCTTTGACCTTGGTGGAAACCGGTAAACCGTTTGAAATTCGGTGATCTGATTGCCAGGTGATTTCGCCGGTTTAGGTTACACTTCTAGAGACGGGAATATACTACCATTTGGGATTGAAATCACGTATGTCGAGGATTTCCGAAAATTGGCTACGTCTAATCCGTTTCACAGAATTGAAGCTGCGGTTGATCTACGATGGTCTAAGCTTGTTCAAAAGCTCCAACCAACAGTTGTTGCTGATCTCAGGTCGCATAACAGGTCCATTAGT